CACACACACACACACACACGCACACACACACACACGCACACACACACACAATGTTTTGCTGGGTTTCCTTATTCGTCCTGGAGGTCGAAGCCACAACACGTTACACATCTGGACATAACGGGGACATGTCGTGCTCATTGTCAGGTTTATTTTTGTATTTTGGGTTTGTACTAGAAAATTTTTCCACGCTTTAATGGTCAGATAGTTTGAACTGTTTGAAAAGCTCCGGTTTCCATTCTCTGTAAGTCCTCCAGAAAAATACCAGTCTGCTTTCATTGGCTTGCGAGTAATATGGTTGGTGCACCTTAGCGTGTTGTTTCTGTGTTAGCGTGTTGTTTCTGTGTTGGGGGGCGACCGTGGCTCACTGTAACCGCAAGGTTGATGCTTCGATCCTTGGCTGGGACGTGTCCTGTGTCGAAGTGTCCCTGAGCAAGACACAGAACCCCTAACGTCTCCCCGGGCGCCTGTCATGGGCCACTGCTCCCTGATACAGGGATGGTTCAAATGCAGACACAAATGTCCCCCTAACCAGGATGAATATAGTATAATTAGCGTGTTGTTTCTATGTTAGCGTGTTGTTCTTGTTTTAGCGTGTTGTTTCTATGTTAGCGTGTTGTTTCCATGTTAGCGTGTTGTTCTTGTGTTAGCATGTTGTTTCTATGTTAGCGTGTTGTTTCCATGTTAGCGTGTTGTTCTTGTGTTAGCATGTTGTTTCTATGTTAGCGTGTTGTTCTTGTGTTAGCGTGTTGTTTCTATGTTAGCGTGTTGTTTCCATGTTAGCGTGTTGTTTCCATGTTAGCGTGTTGTTCTTGTGTTAGCATGTTGTTTCTATGTTAGCGTGTTGTTCTTGTGTTAGCATGTTGTTTCTATGTTAGCGTGTTCTTGTGTTAGCGTGTTGTTTCCATGTTAGCGTGTTGTTCTTGAGCGAGTTCATGTGTCTCTATAGTTAGCCACACTTCTCCTCTGTTAGCCGGTTGGTTGTGTTAGTTTTCCAGCAGTAGTTGATCGTGAATGTTTCATGTTAACATGCGCTCAGGCTTCATAATAACTCTTATAAGACAGCAGTTAATCTTCACTCCCACAGAAACAACACTGACAAAGTTCCTTAAATGTGACTCAGCGTCTGCGGGTGTTTAACTTTAACCAACTCAAGTAAAATGTCAAGCGTAAGAGCTCTCCGTCATTTAAAGGTGATTAATTATCCTTCACACCTGGAGGCTCTCACGATGTTTCCACTCTCTGCAGCATCGTAATTTGTGCTTGTGTCTGCAGCAGCTCAGCCTGAATACTCAGGTGAGTTAAAGTTTCCCAGCGAGTGGAAGCCGCTGGGCTCCGGCTGACCTTTTCACCTCTCGCCTCGTGCACCGCGGCTTTAATAGCGGCTGCATTTTTGTCCTTGGCGTGAGGAAATGAGTTCCTGCTGCGCCTCCTCCTCGCTGACTGGCGTCGCTCCAGCCGCCTCGTCCTCGACCCCGACGGCTCGTCCTCCGAAGCTGGAAAAGCTCAGCGTCGGTTTTTGCAATCACATTTTTTTAATATGCGTTTAACAAGGCCGGGTTTATGTGCTTATGAATGTCAACATGACCCGCAGCCAGAAGCCAGTGGCTTCACTGCTTTTACAAATCGTTGCACAACTCCACTTAATGCCTCACAATAACCTTATGAAGCAATTATTCCCTCCTCGGCTGCTGTCAGGCTGTGCACGTAGAGAAAGACTCTTTAATGGAGACTTTAAGGACCATTAACGGATTGTTTTATACTAAAGCAGAAAAGAGACAAAAGACACATGTACTTTGTGTACATCCTTTAAACTTTAATGGTGAAGCAGAAAACAAAACAATACCGTAAAATAAATTAGATTAGAAAAATGCCACAAGCACATTTGATTTGTACAACAAAGCAATGCAACATACTGGATTTCCATATATACAGAATAAAAAATAGACTTTTTATTCTTTGTCCACTTGGTTCAGTGTCAGTATCTTTTGTCTCGATAAAAAGAACAAAATCTGAACAAATACAACTTCTTTTATTCTTTTCTTTTTTTTCAACCTTTTTGAGGCTTTTTTCGTTTTTCTGACGTTTTGCGTTCATGTTCAAACAGGACGGACTAAGAGTTTGTCCCAAAAGAGTCCAGAAGAGGCTCCGCCCTCTTCTCAAACGATGACAACAAAACACGAGTGACATCATCAAAAAGGGACCAATACTCTCGATAAACTTTTGGTGAACAAGTCAACAATACTGATAGAAACACACACGACACGGAAACACTCAAAGGTTTGTTTTCTCCCAAAAACAGAACAAGGCGATTGTGGATTGTCTTTTTAAGAGTAAAGCATTGTGGGAAATGGAGTTCTTGATGTGCAGGGAGAGAGGAAGAGGAAAGAAATGAAACACCAAAACTAAAAGAATCAGAAAACTCTAAAGCACAAATAAAACTTCATGAAAACTCTTTTTACACACTTCAGAGAAACACAACGGACAGAAAGCCAGTTGTGAGTTTTCTTTCCTTCAGTTTTCTCTCACAAACATTTGAACAAACTCGACTCTTTGGTGTTCTAAAGCAAACTAAAGACTAAGAACCTCCAGAATACAAACCTCCTCAAAATGAACCACGTTTAGCTGTGAGCGGACCAAATCACTTCTTATGGATCTCTCCAATAATTCATAAATCCAGATAAACTGTGTGTTTTTAAGGGATTTGTTCACATGTTCACTTAAATCACTGAACGATTAGCTTCAGTTTGATCAATTAAAGGTGGACATGGTGATAATAGTTATATTAAGCTTCATTAATATGTAGATTACGGTCGTTTTAATCGCCGTCTTCATGTCATTACTCCAAAGTGAAACACTCTAATGCGTCTGTAACCGACATAATTCATTGACATGTAATCAAACATTGATAAGCAGACGTCATAGGAATGGTCTCCTCTAGTGGAGGAACTTCTGCTGTCTAAAGTTAAAGCAACATTGTTTTCAGAGATACCTCAAGAAATGTTTTTAATAAAACAAAACTAAAAGCATGAAACATATTAATGAATGAGTTAAAGAGCCTCTGAGGATGAATCCCTTAGAAGCCGTGGTACTGACTGTAGAGAGAGAACTGATGAAGTGTTTCTGTCCGTAGTGTGGAGCTAAGATGATTCTGTTGGCTAATGCTAATCACGTTCAGCTAGCTCATTAACAATATGTAAACATCAGAAACAAAGAAATACATTTAAGGTTTGTTCTTTTTGTTCTTTTGTTCTTGTTGTCGTGATTTCTGGAAGTTAGCGGTTGGCTAGCGGTTTGTTAGCGGTTGGCTAGCAGTTGGCTGGCGGTTAGCTAGCGGTTGGCTAGTGGTTGGCTAGCTGTCACTGAACATTTATGTGTAAACTTGATGAGTCGATCCAAGAAAGTCCATTGAGACTAATAAGTCTAATTATGAGTCAAATCAATACTTTCTATTCTCCACCAAATATTCTTCATCATTTGAGCGCTTTGATGCTGATCAGATTTTTATTTCCAGGAGGTTGTGGAAGTCTTTGAGAAAATGTTGATGTTGGACATAAACAGTTCATTTCTACGTGAACAGATGTAAGATAAATGTATGAAATCATTGTGGAGATGGTGGTTTTAATCAGCATTTCATTTCAACACTTCAAGTGTGTTTGATTGACAGGTGGCTCAGCCAATCACACTCAACCTCCTACTTTTGACCCAATAAGGATTTCTCTGTGCAGTGAGTCCGTCTGACGGGTTCTGACTCATGGTGGGAATCAAACCTGTGACCTGGAAGCTCCGCCCTCTTCCGTCTACTCGCTATAGTGCAAAAAAAATAATAAAGACGTTTGTAACGTTTCTTTAAAAGACAAAATAATAATAATAAACCAACATAATAATAACAACACAAATCCAGCCAAATAAAGAACATTATCAACGACAATAACAATAATATTATTAATATACTTACTGACAATAATAATTATAACATCAACACGTTAAACATGGAAACATAAAGAAGTGTTTGGTTCCAGCAGCCGGGCCAACTTGTTTCTTTCAAGTATCTCTCGACACACACACGCACACACACACACACACACACACACACACACACACACACACACACACAC